CAATCAATCAAATGCCCTACATCATTATCGTTGCAGAAATCTTCATGAGGATTTAGCTAACAATCTTCAAGATTTTTAGGAATTTGCAACACGGAAAACAATTCAGATTGTCGCATACCGCAGCATATGTATAGAGCTCAAACCAGCTAGCCATGGTGTACCGACGCGGGGTCATGGTAAATATGGACGATTCGTTCGTGATATTGAATCAATCACCGGGGCAGGATATCAAGACAATTTTGTTCATTTCAGGATTTCTCATGAAATCTTTCAACATTTTCTATTTCATACATAGCAATAATAAATCTTTGGCTCAAGTTTTGTCTGAAAGAACCTCGGGAAACTCCCATCAAAATGAATGTTCACGGGATTGAATTGAACTGAAGTGATTCACTATGACCACAAGCCAGACCACCTTTGAGAAACAATATTCCGTTTGAAGATTCTTCCATGTCCAAAGTGATGAAGCGGTGTGATTTAGTATTGTCTTCCTTCCAACACATCAACACTTTCGTGATGACCACTTGTGACTTATTGATTTTACATGGTATTGTTGGTAAAAGTCATATTTATGCCCCTCTTCTTTTTGTTCGATAAGTACATTTGACTTGTTGTTGGTCTGCACTGTGCAGTTGTTCTTCGGCCTAGCGAAACTTGAGGAATTCATTGTTTTCTGGAGTGGAATCTCTTTTGCCTGGTATTGGTAGTACATGAAATTCAACTTACCTACCATTCTGCCATACTCCGACCCATACTCACACTCGAACTCAAGGTCACCCTTTAAAGATATACAATCGCAACAAGTTGCAACTCGAGGAAAAGGCAAGGAGTTTCTAGCCCAACTCCAAATACTACAACGATTGGCTTTTGCTTGCTTGTACTCCCAATTCCGCCCAGAACATTCAAACAAACGCAACGAACGCACAAGGCTTTCAGTAACAAGGTACGCTAAAGAGGCAACCATCAATTTCCATTTCCAGACCTTCAGCCTCCTCATCCCATCCTTATTATCACCTACAATCGGACGGAGCTTTCCAAAAGCTCGGCCTCTTCAACTTTAATCCATCCCCCACGTTCAACACAAATACAAATACAAATACAAATTACAATACTTATAAGTTATACATATCAGGCTGTGCAGCTTCGTCTGCCAAATCGTATCGGTGAGGTAAAATGCCTTGCTTCAAAGGTATTGCTGTCAGTGTCCATGCTGAAGGATCACCGCTCCCTGAATATGGAGTAACTCGACAATCAAGATTCAGTCGTATTAACACATACATCCCCGTCCCTCAACCCAAAATTCCCCGCGATTCGACCACAAATAAACCTGAAGCCGCAAAGTTTGCTATCTCAATTACGTTGTTAACTCCAGGTCTTCCCATTCCTTACAGCACACCGAAAGCAACACCCGCGAACCCTTATCCTCAGCCTCAAACTGTCACTGGTTTGCCTGGCTTTGGCGAGAAAACAAATTTCGCTGGTCAAGTCGGTCCCTACATACCAATCACCAAGTCGGAAAATGAAACAATCGCTGCATATATCTATTTTGATGGCAGACCAAAGGAAGAAGTGGCCACTCTTTTACGACCAAGCGAAGAGACATGGGTAAATTCTCGATGGGTTCAGGTTCCAGATTCTGAAGGAGGAGGACTGGCTGAGCGGGAGTTTTTGTTCCGTGAGGTTGGACTAGAGCGATGGTTGAACGGACTTGATCTTGACGGACAAGATGCCGCTGCAAGAATCGAAAAGCGTCGACAAAAGTTCGAGAAGCGTCGTAGGCGCAGAAAGGAGGAAATTGGCAGTGATGATGAACTCGCAGACATGATGACACCAAGAAAGAGATCCACAGCACGAGAGGTTCTACGATACGGAGCAGATGACCAATCGCCGGTCGAGACCGTTTCAGATGACGAAAGTTTCAGCTCAGACTCGGACGACGATGATGCTCTGCCGGAAGCTGCAGGACAAATCAAGGTTGCTATGTTTCGGGTACTCGCATCTGGAGAAATCAAGCGCGGCGAATACTCTCCACAATTTGATGCTCATGATGATGATGAAGAAGGAGAGAAAGGCAATGGAGAAGGAGGAGAGGGAGATGTTGATCACACCACAAGTTTTGCAAAGCCTAAGACATTGGATCCAAAATCTATTAGCACACAAACTGTCACTGGAATAGATGGGCCCGATAAGCCTTTCGCCGTCTTTACATTCTTCTATCGAGGTCAACGTAAGCTTTATTTCTGTTTTCTGTCACAATACCACTCTCTAACATGTCACCACAGGTCAATTGCAAAAGATGGGCATTCTACCAAATTCAAAGCAGGAAAAGATAAACAGCAGTGCTGCGAAACGAAGGTCAACACAGTTAGACTTCGGAAATATTGGCAAATTGAGTAATACTGGAACCGTTGGATTTTCCGCCTTCAGAGATAACGACACCTCCGCAAAGCGTAGTAAATCTAAAAAGAAGAGTAATGGAAATGCCGGCATGATGGAAGACAGCGACGATGAAGATGATGACGATAACGGAGTAAAGATGGAAGAAGTGGATGAGAAGGATGACCCAAATAAGACTTTGAGCACAGAAGATGCAAAGTTTCAAGGAGAATTAGCAGATGGGGTTGGACGAATCAAGGTATGGTAATCACATTGTACTTATAAGAAAGCATGCTAATATTGATTGAAGTTAAAACGCCAATATTCTGCTGGAAATTTGAATAACAATTTGGGCAGATCACCCAACTCAGCCAGCAATACATCTGGCAATGCTACTCCCGCTACGGATGGAGACAACAATGGTCTACTTTTACCAAACAATGTGTTCGGAAAGAGCCTCACAGAAGACAACTTTGTTGGTAGTCCTATGAAGAAACATAGAGCTAGCCTCCTCGGTGATGAATCTCTAGATAAACGGCTAGCAGGATTTTCGAGTAATCTTGACATTGTAGCAGCAGCCGAAGCTGCACAGACTCCCCTCCCAGAACCAGCAATGAAGGATGTCGACGAAGAAGAGTTATGATGGTTAGGGGCCATATAGGATGGAAGGAACACTAAAGATTTTGATATAGACATCATGGCATGATGATTTTCACGCTAACGGGTGTCTCATCTATCTCTCAATCTATTTGATGGATTGGAAAGCGAAAACAAGCATGGCATGGCACGCAGCGAGTGATATTTGGTTGGTTGGTTGGTTGGTTGATTTGTGAAAGGGGTGGCAGGCTTATCATATCATATCATATAACCAGTATGATTTTTATACCTGTTAACCTGAGTCTTCGCATGGGATCCCTTGTTTTCATGGATTGATTGGTTGTTTGCATACATCACAGTATGTCTTGTAAAAGATCTCTTTTAATACCCTGAGCGCCTGCTGCACTATGGTTTCATGGCTGGCTACAGAGCTGGGTGGTGGGTGGTACCTTGGTAAGAACTGCTCCCTTCACTTGACTGCCTCTGGCGGACAGAGAACAGCTTGGTTTTACGTCTTCTCGTATGGGGATGGGTGGTTGGTCATGCATACAAACGGACAGAAAACACATAAGATGAATAATATCAATAAATAAATCATGTGGTCAGTTCCCTGTGAGTTACGTGAATATAAATGTGAGTTGGTTTGAGAGTGGTTGGGAAATTTTTCCGAATTGGTAGAGTAGAACATGTCCATGCCGGATTCTTCTGATGTGATGGATGAATGGCTAGTGCTATGGAAATGCGTATTTTACCCTCTCAGGTGTCACCCTCATGACATAATCTCCTCCTGATCAAGTCACATTATATAAGAAGTTATGTTTTAGCTACTCTCTTGTTACTACAATCCAACAGTGGTCTAATCCACCCGCTAGCTTCATATCCCCAGCATCGCATCTCTGATCGTTCTTCCATCAGCAGAACATAAAGATCTTAGCATTGTATTCAGTTCTTCGACGAACCGCTTCACTTCTGCAGCGGCTAGTACTTGATCATCATAATCCGCATGCACAATCATCGTCTCCCTTCCAAGTTTACACTCCACACTCAGACCGTAAGTTAAAAACTCCGGATACTCGGTATAAATCCTATTGACACCATCGATACTAATTTCTTCCTGCTCAACAGGCTGCACGATCAGGAGAGTTTGAAACTCGCACGCAATAGCACAGTCAGCACTCACAGCCGCGATCTTATCTTTGCCAACGTGTTCGTAGGATATCATACTGGCGCTCTGATCCTGAATACCGCGTAGGAACGATGCAATTGTGGTAGCCGAGTTCCATGCTATGCGAAGTGGAACGAGTGTGATTGCAGGCCCAACAATTTCTGTAACGCCTCGCAGGGGAATGGAACGGCCAGTCTGGATGGCGCCGAAGCAGGTATCGTTGGAATTGGTGAGGTTGCCAATAACCATTGAGAAAGCGGCACGAAGAAGTGTAGAGATCGTTATATCTTTGCTTGAGGGCTTCGGAAGTCGAATCGTGGTTTCAAAGACTTTGTTTGTGAGAGGTCTGTAGGACGGTTCTGGGAGAGGTGGGAAGATTCGACCACTGAAGCTGTGCAGTTGAGAGGTCCAAAAATTCGCATAATTGGAGCTTGCTAGTCCGTCAATGTACTGGACCAAGTCTTTGAAAGGCGGGCCAATAATTATGTAGCTACCTGCGTAGAGCCTAGCCATCATGTCTAGAACTTGGGTCACGCTCCACCCGTCGTAAGTTGCGTGGTGGGCTGTCCAAACAAAGTAAGATCCCCCTTCTGATGTCTCTATAACAATTGCGAAGCGAGCTAATGCAGTTCCGTAGTCAAAAGTAAGAGCCTGGTCTCTCTGAATGTAATCCTTAAGCGACGTTGAGCTTTGCCATTCAATTCTCTCCTCAACAACGACTTGCAAAACATCACCTTGCCCCACCTTGACGATCCGCGTACGGAAAATGGAATTCTCAGCCACTACTTGCTCCCATGCAGCACGATATCGACTGAGATCCACATTACTTTCAAGCCGGGCGATATATCGAAAAGTGTTTGCCTCACATTTCCTTCTGGTTACTTCTAGCATATCCTTCTGTAGCCAAGTACAACTGTATATGTCTTGAATAGAGTCATAATCTATGTTATACTTCTGACTGACATGTGCCGTGAGTTGTGATCCGCGGTGCATGGCTGGTAATAATTTGTGGTCCTGTTTTAGGATTTCAGTGGACAAAGCCATGTCTGATAGCACAGGGCGTCGAAAGATATCAGCAACAGTGAGCTGTAAATTTATTCTCCGTGCAGCAGCAGCCAGTTTTATAGCGGCAACACTCTCGCCTCCAAGTTGGAAGAAGTCGTCTTCGATACCAATGAGTTCTGATGAGATTTTCAAAATCGAAGACCACAACTTCTGGAATGTTGTCTCTTTGTCATTTCGAGGTTGCCCTTTCTCAGAACTAGATAGCCCAAGAGTGTACTGTATCATCTGAGTATTTGATATGCTTTCACCTAATCTACGCAATGCCTTCCGATTAAGCTTTCCCGTAGTTGTTGTCGGCATGCAGTTGAGAGGGGCATAAGCTGACGGAATCATGTAGGCAGGGAGAAGTTGGGCTAAGTCGTTCTTCAATCTAAGCGTCTCGAGCTGCATCTCATCGGTCATCTCATCGGTCATCTCTAAAAGAGGAGTGGGAGATGCCTGCGAGTTCAAAGAAGACTTTGTTGGCCAGAAGAATGCTACAATCATTTGCTGCGCTAAACTTCCAGCGGGTCTGAAAGCCTCTACAGCGGCAGTCCATTGCTCCGAGCACTTCTTTGCGATCTGGAGCTCGATGTCTTCGAGCTCAATACGTTGGCCGTTAATTTTGACCTGCAAATCTTTCCTTCCAACAAAGTCAAGTGATCCATCTTCATTGTATTTTACAAGGTCCCCGTCTTGTAGCATCGTCTTTTCTGTCCTTTCGACCCAATAAGCCACGCAGGGTAGACAAACACATTCTTGGTCTTTTCATCGTCCTTTAAGTACGCACGGGCTACGTTGGGCCCTTCTATCAGCAGCTCACCAATGCAGCCCACTGGGACTGGTTTATTGTGATCATTTTTGTTTACCACCCAGCACTTGCATCCGATGGCTCGACCTATGTTGCCCCCCTTTGATTGTTTTCCCAGTACTTCCGTTGTCGTGGAATAGATAGTGCATTCAGCCGGTCCATAAGTGTTGAAAAGTTGCACTCTATCCGCCCACTGTTCGATGACATCGTTTCTTAAAGTTTCACCTCCAAGAACGAGAGTTCGGAGGGTTGGTACGGCATCAGGGTCGATCGTTCGCGCGACTGTAGGGGTGAGGTCCGCAGAAGTAACTTTCATTGCGCTCATTATGCCAGAAAGATCATTGAGGCGATCATGCTCTGATGCGATACAGATGCATGCTCCATGCATGAGTGTAACGCAAATGTCCTCAATCGCGACATCGAAGACATAGGAGGCGAATGCGAGCACTCGAGAAGTAGGAGTTAGTCCTAAAGCAGCACTATTTCCCCGGCTTGTGGCACAAATTGAGGCGTGCTCCAATACAATTCCTTTCGGGGTCCCAGTGCTACCGGAGGTGAAAACAACGAATGCAGCATTGCTAGGGTTTACGGAGCCTCTATCAATATCGAAAGAGAGTTCAAGTCCAACTCTTAATATATTGTCGACACAAAGGAATTCTACTTTGAAACTTTCAAATAATTTGCCATAGTTGGAGGACCCAAGAATAAGTGTAGCGTCCGTGTTCTGTATAGTCTGTTGTAAATGACTCGGTGGGTGTTTGGGATCTAGTGCTACGCAAGTCCCTCCAGCCCTGAGAATCGCCAGTACAGCCACAACGCCCCACAGTGACTTATCGAAGCAAAACGGAACGATGATCTCAGGTCCAACTCCAAGTTTGCGCAGATGAGCGGCGAGTGACGCCGACCATATGTCTAGAGATCGATACGACATCTCGTGGTTCTGGAAATACACAGCCGGCTTCTCAGGGTGATTCTTCATCTGTCGTTCAATGGCCCAATGTACAGTGTCATCGACTGGATCGAGCTTGGCACAATTCCACGCGTTGAGACGATCGATATCTCTAGTACTCAGAGAGTTGATATCTCCAATATTGAAGTTCATCGCATGTGAACTTATTTTATGCAACATATGCTCGAACTGGTACACAATTTCTAGTAACTTATTTGCCGATAGCACTGCAGAATCATAACTCGCACTGATGGCAAGCTTATTGCGGCCTATTGTACACTGCATCGACAAGATATAAGGAGGGTATTCTGTATCCGTAGCTTGAACAAACTGCATGCCTGGAATAATTGGCTGGGACTGGTTTTTTTCTGGCTGTATAACGAGAAGGTTTTGAAATTTACAAGCGGCTCGGCAATCCGCACTAAGAGTCTCGATATTTTTCGTGCCTAGATGTTCAAACTGAATCATACCTGTGCTCTGCGACTGTATCCGGCTCAAGTGTTCAAGGATAGGTAATGATTCCGTCCATTGTACTCGCACAGGTACCACAGTTATCGTTGGACCCAGCATATCCGATATACCTAGTAAAGGAGTGGCCCTTCCTGTTTGCACTACACCAAAAACCACATCCTGTGTTTCAGTGAATTGCCCTATTGTTAAAGCCCAGGCACCGCATATTATTGTCGATAATGTTAGGTCATTTGCAGCCCCAAGTCTCAGTGGCATTGCGACGGTGTGTTCGATGGACCGATCGGTTAGAGGCCAATACCCAGGTTGTGACAGCGCAGGGAATGTGATTCCAGAATAGCCATCAAGCTCTGTCTGCCAGTACTGCTCCTAATTCCCGTCCTTGTTTTCTTCAAAATAAGCAACAAAGTTCTTGAAAGGTGGTGATCGAGTCGTTTCAACTCTCTCGTAACATCCCCCAAACATATCAAGCATGCCGAAATGGCTCCAGCCATCGCAGGTACTGTGATGATTTGTCCAAATAAAATAATGAGCGCCGTCCCGATCCGGCACTAGACCTAAACGTACAAGCCTGGTGCCATAATCAAATGCTATACCATTATCGCGATTGAGGTACTCTTGTAGACTGACTGCAGTTTGCCAATCAATGTTTTCACGGAGCACCACTTGCAAAATCGACGACCTGGTGAAGATGATGCGAGTGCGTAAGATTGCATTTTGAGATACTACATTTTCCCACGCAGCGATAAAACGGTCGATATCAACATCAGCTGATAGGCGAAAGACTTGTTGTAGAGTATTTGTTTTGTGATTACGTGTGGTCAGAGCAATTAAGCCTTTCTGAAGTGGAGTTGCTGTGTAAATGTCCTCGATACTATTAAGATCAATATCCCACTCTCGACTGACTAGCTCTGCCAAGTCAGTAGCCTCTCGAGATTTTTGCGGAGCCTCAGAAATGCTTTCGGTGGTTGTGGTCAAAGCCAAGTCAGCAAGGAGGGGATAATCGAATATTTGCGCGACCGTGAGCTGGAGGTTATTCTTTCGAGCTGCAGCGACCATTTTGATGGCAGAAATCGAATCTCCGCCAAGATGAAAGAAATTGTCGTTGACTCCTATACTCTCCTCACCCGTATCGAGCAATGCTGCCCAAATTTTCCGAAGTTTGTACTCTTTCGTTGATGTAGGTGGAAGCTTCTCAGAAGTCTCATCTAGCGAGACACCTAGTTGCTGGGAGTTAAGGGTGGGTGAAAGCTGACGTAGAGACCTGCGGTCCATTTTTCCCGAGGAAAGTACAGGTATGGAATCGACGGAAATATAATGTTTCGGAATCATTGCTGTTGGCAAGCAAGTGGATAGATAGTCACGAAGCCGTGTAAGTTCCGAGTTCTCAAATTCTTTTCCCCATTCTTTCTGAAATTGCAGGAAAGCCACGAGACTTGGATTTTTCACAAGACCGCCAGATGGTACAATCTCAACTACAACATTGACGAGGAATGGTCCAAGAATAGCTTCTCGCACGCATGATTCTACCTCTCCAAGTTCGATTCTTTGTCCATGAAGTTTGACCTGAGTGTCCTTTCGGCCTACAAATATCAGACTGCCGTCTGCATGGTAGGATCGAGTCATTGAGTCCCCTGCGATCAAAAGTAACTAATAAGAATTGCAGCAATACCTGGGTACATTGTGCATTTAGTACGGTACGTACGAGCGAAATGTGAAAATTCAAGATTTCCGAATCAGCTAGCTTGAACTAAGCGACTGTTATTATATAAAAGATAAGGAGATCACTTAAGGATCTCTTTCCTCTTTAGCTTTCTTATTCTAGTTGTTTGAACTCTATCTACATGCTCTAGTATGTGATCGTGACACAGTTCCTGGCTGGATAAATATCTTTCTTTTTATATAGCTTCATCCAACTGTTAGATGAACACTTTTAAGGTATCTACGCGGTATCCATATGGCCTCTCTATATCTTGAGGAAAACTCTCCGTCTGGGATTGGCCCCGTATGATACCAAGGTATTGACCGTCGTGTCAGGTACTGTCGAAGCCACTATCTATAAGAAGTCATCAGTTTACTTCCCAATTCCATGTACACACCGATTATCTCGAAGATTGCTGCTGTGTTGGAGGGCAAGACGACCTGAAAATGATGGATAAGGGTCGTTTAACTGTCAAAAGTAGTAACCGATATGTCGAAGGGAGGAGATGGACTTCTGTGTACAGATAATCGGGCAACTGTGACGCATACTCCCAGTTCGATACCGTATTGACTCTTGTAAGTGTTATTTATGGTTGATAGTTGCAAGTTCAATTCGTGATATTAGGATGGGATTGTGTCGGTAAAACGAGGTCTTGATGAAGTTGTTGAACATCTCGGGAAAAAGGTAATAATTTGACAACTCCTCACTTTTGCAAATTGAAGACCCAAAAGCAAATGCCTAGTCATCTGCTAGAATTATTTAGTGACTTGTGTGCTCGCTAACCGGTCGTACAGATGAAACGTCTTTTCTTGGAATTATACTGACGTCTAGCTTCAATCCGCGGATACTCTCTATACACTACACACTAAAGCGTCTCATCGAATTCAGATTTACTACCTTGAATCCATAGCAGTGTTAGATTCCACATATACAACCCAATAGCCTCAAAAGCAGATGCAAATTTTATCTAAAAATTCCACTAATGTCATTTCATTCTATCGATCAAAAGGTTACAGATTTCCAAGCTCAGAACGAGAGCGAAAATGCGACAGGCGAAACGAAACTGTTTGCTGCGTAACTCTCACTGAGGAGGGAAAAGAGAAGCGCTGAGCTGTGTTCTAGTAATGGGCTGTTTGTCGAGTCAGTTGGTTCGTGATTAATTTTCTCCATCTATTCGTGTCTGAAAAGAGTACGAAGTTATAAGCTAGTATGTACCCTCAAGATTCACCCAGAACAAGTATTCTAATCGGATACATAGGCGATTGCTCATGCCAGATATCTCTCATTCCCACCCCAAGTTCCCAAAACTCCTTTTTACAACTCATCAGCGAACTCCACAGCGGCTTTCAAAAACCCAATACCACCATCCATCCCCATATCACCACATCCCACCAAAGCGCACAAGATAACTCCACAGACACATAGAGACTCTGATCTGAACTAACTGCCAAATTCGGAGAAACTATAGAACCGTGGTATCCGCTAACCAAGCAATAGCCAGGGCCCCGGATAGAATTACCTTTCTTCAATCCACACATCTGTTAGGATCTCCCCTGTAATACATAACGATCGACGTACATACATACAATACAAATAATGAGAGAATACCAACTTTCCTTTAGGGATTCGAATAGAGAATTTCCAGTTTGTTGAAAGATCTAGTTGAGTTAGTAGATACATCCTTTAATACATCCCCACACAGCTAAGCGAACACGAAAAATAGTGGAGAAAGCCACCCTCCCACCTAAGAATAAACAATCATTGATCTTCATCTTCTAAGCGCTTGTCAGGACCCCCTTCTCAATAATGAAATAATAGATATGCAACAGTGAGAATATAAACTCGAATCGAGGGATTTGAGTGGTGAACTTTTGTTAGTCTAGTAGTACTATAATAGCTTTCACAATCAAGACAATGGAGAGGATGCTTCGTCTGTCTGGGAGCATCCATTAACATTGGTATCCATACTACACCAAGGAAAAAAAACTACCGAATGAGCATTTGTTATACTCTGTATTACTTGGTACCTAGCAGATTGATTTGATAACTATTGTTGCACCAGAATTTCTCATTCAACGTTCTCAATACCAGTACAACTTCACGTTACGGAATAAACATTACAAAGAAAAACATCATATGTTTAGCTGTCCTCGCCACCAAAGATAATATTTATATCAGCCTATGTGCTTGCATGCCTATGTCCTTCAATCCTCCGTCTCCAATATTGCTCTCCTTGTGGCCCCTCCAATTTGTAAACAGCAAACAATAACATCAAAAGAACCTAATAAGCTCATTCATCAAAAAGGTATAACACAAATCCGCCCATCCTCATAACGCTCTCGCTGGCTGAAAAAAACCTAGAACCCCCCTTCTCCTCTCCATCCCCTCGCTAGAAGTCAAAAGAATATAACATGTAATGTGTGAATCGAAAAAAAAAATTAGAAAGAAAGTGAGAAATAAAAGTGAAGTCCATCATCCATCATCCAACTGCGTACATTGCATCATCATTTCATGAACTATCATACTCACAAGTTCTCATATCATAGCCGAACCTCGTATCCAATCATTACTACTCCGACTTTCTCGAATCTGTTGATGAGCTCAACAGTTTTGAAGATAATTGCTTGGCACTAAACCCGGTCGACCATTCTTTCCAGCTACTTCTGCCTCCCACCATCCATCATCTTGGTGCGTCATAACGGCAAGAATATCTCCCTTTGCAAAACTAAGTTCTTCGGGATAGCTGCTTGATACATATAGAGTGCGCGAGCTAATAAAGCGTTAGTACTACTCAAATGATCAAGACCAGAGGGAATTTACCGAAATGTAGAATGGGGCGGCCTTGACTGTTAAATTGACGGACATCCGCAACGCTTTTACTTCTGCTTCGGGCTGCCAATTGCTGGTCACTTCCACTCCCATAATGGCTCATGGCTCTCGAACCAGCACTAGCTCTACTGCCACTTCGTCCCTGAGAGCCGTAACCGTCATCTTGACCCGAGGCTAATTGTATTGCCATGCTGTTGTTTACCATACCCATTGAATGACTACTGGAAGGCCTATCTTGTTGTGCGAATGGGGCCTTGACGTGACTGCTGCTAGGTCTCTCTTGTTGCTGAAAGGGAGCTTTGACGTGGCTGCTGCTTGGCCTGTCTTGTTGTGCATATGGGGCTGGCGAGACGCCACGAGCAGAAATGCTGGGGGAATTCCGCTGATAATAAGTATCAGAGCCCCGCTTTTGCTGAGGAGCGGATCCAGTACGAGAGTGAGTACTTCCAGCGTATTTGGGAGAGGCAGCTTGTCTCATTTCGGCCTGCGTTCCAGGTCGAGGGGAAACACTCCGAGCGGGCGCTGGTGATGTAGTTCGAGGCATATCTGACCCCCTTGTTCCAGGACGTGAGCCATACCCGGTTTGCTGTGAATCTGGTCTTGGCTGGGGAGGACTAAACATATTTGCCGTTTGGTCGACGTACTTTTGACGAGTTTGCTGCATCGACTTTGAAGTGAAAGCAGGGGACGGAAGGCCAAGTCTTTCAACAGGAGTTGGATCGTAAGATGGTGGAGGTGTGCCACGCATGCCAGCCATCAAAGCCCCATTGACCATTTGAGATCCGATAGGTCTGGATGTAGGCGCCGCATCCGGGGCGGGGGTAGCCACTCCGTGATATTTATCTGCAGATACCCTAGTAGATGATGCTTTAGTAACAACTTTGAGATCAGCAAGAGCCTGAGCTATGGGATCAGATTCCTCTGCAGCTTGGCTTGCAGGGGTGCTTTGAGCAAGCTTATTCTTCTTCTCAGGCGTTGCAACGTCAAAAACGTTGTTTCCGATATTCAATTGAAAGTTGGCCCTTGGATCAACGGGCTCTGGGCTATTGCTGGGTCGATCAGTCAGCATCATAGTTTTTGGCGCTGGCTGTATCATTCTCGAATTTGGTCTCCCAGCTGGAGTACTCTGAACACTGGCATTTCGGCCGGACCATGTATTGCGATTTGATGGAGCTGGTCTGGCAATAGCAACTTCTTCTCCGCTCTTGGTGCTCTTTCTTCGAAATGGGCTATGGAAGATTCCACTTTTTTTCTTCTGGATTGGCTTCTCAACAATCGGCGCGCTTTGTTTTACTGGCGAAGCTTTTCCACTTGGAGGCTCTTGGCTTGAGAATGATGTAGGATTTGAATAATCGCTTTGGGAATCCCGACTGGATGGGCGTACTGGGCTATTCGCGGCGGAGCTCATATCTGAAGGTGCTGAGGAGGGCCCTGTTCGACACAACATTGTCATGCCATCCGTAGGATGAGGGTTGTGGGGTACTTGAGCAATTTGTCCCTGTTTTGGAACCAATTGACCTTGTTGTTGTTCGTAAGGCATTTGTATTGGCTTCGACCAGTCCATCTTCGGTAACCTAGAGCTATCAGGACGTTGATAGTCCACTTGAGGCTGTTGCAAAATTTGAGGTTTATACTCAAGCTGAGCTTGTTTTGGGCGTTCTTGCTGACGATAATTAGCCTGGGCTTGGGCCTGGGCCTGGGCTTGTGCTTGTGCTTGCTTCTGTCTTTCGCTTTGTTGTTGTCTGTCAATTTGTTGATAATCAACAGATTGCTTCCTTTGCCTTTCTGCCTGTTGTTGATTGATGTGCGCTTGCTGCCTTTGTCTTTCTGCTTGCTGATAGTCCTGTGGAGGTTGCTGTCTTTGCCTCCCAGGTTGTTGATAATCGATCTGAGACTGGGGGCGAGCCCGGCCCGGCTGGGAATAACTAGCCTGAGATTGAGCTCTGGGCCGAGCTGGTTGCTGATACTCTAACTGAGCAGGCGGGGCTTGTATAGGCGGCTCTGGTTCGTAATCCTCTACTTGAGCATGTCGTGATCTGTCCGGGGTTGAATTTGATGGAGTAAGCTTCTGAGGAGTGATGGTTGCCTCTCGACT